GAAGGAAGGAAGGAAGGAAGGAAGGAAGGAAGGAAGGAAGGAAGGAAAAAGAAAGAAAAGAAAAGAGAAAAGAAGAAAGACAACAAAAAAACCATTATTGATTTTCCCATTCAACAGAATTAACACTTGCCAAAATTGTGTAACAGTGCAAATATGCCTTTGGTAATTCCCTGTCAAAATGCCTCACACCAACCACACCTCTCCTTTTTCTAATCCATTCAGCTCTTACATCTTTTCGAGTCTTTTTGTCATAGAAGAAAGTGATATGATAAGCAAATTCACAAATTTTTAATAACTGAAAAAAAAATTTAGAAAGTTTCCAGGGCTATATGTATTTTAGAAGACTACCAAAGAGAAAACATTTGAATGCTTTAAAATGGCTCAATCAGTTTGCTAAAAATTATTGTTGAATAGGGTAGGTGCAACAGCTCTAAAATATTGTTTTGTTTTGTTTTGTTTGAGATGGAGTCTCACTCTGTTGCCCAGGCAGGAGTGCAGTGGTACTGCACCCTCAGCTCACTGCACCCTCCGCCTCCCACCAGGTTCAAATGTTTCTCCTGCCTCAGCTTCCTGAGTAGCTGGGATTACAGGCGCACGCCACCACACCCGGCTAATTTTTTGTATTTTTAGTGGAGACAGGGTTTCACCATGTTGGCCAGGCTGGTCTTGAACTCCTGACCTCGTGATCCACCTGCCTCGGCCTCCCAAAGCACTGGGATTACAGGCATGAGCCACTGTGCCCGGCCAAAATACTGGTTTTCAAAAATGTAAAAATCTAGACATATTCTGCATTCAGATTGTTTTCCAAATGTCTAAGTTCTCAATTTGCATAAATATACTGGGAAATGTACATGATGCATCTTCCCATTTTTCAAGCTACATGAAGCAGAACTCCAATCAGAGAATCCAGACTCTAAGAAAAAGCTTTGAACCTTCATCAAAAGATTAGCAAAGCAATGTACATTGATATATTTTAAATTTAAAAATGTTTTAAATGTTTTAATTTAAATTTTTGTTTAAAAATGTTTAAAGCAGGTATTTTTTAAATGTTTATTTATATAATTGATGAACTGACCAACTATTAGTCCTGACCATGTCAGATATGAGGGTCTCCACCATCAATCAGATAATTTCGGATATCAGTAAGTACTAGAAAGAAGGCGTAAAACTTGGTAATGGGCTCAAGTGTGTCAGAGTGTGTCTACTTTAGTTGGATATTCTCATTTGGTTTCCCAGCAATCCTATCAAAGAAACAGGGCAAGCTCTCCTATGCTTATTTCACATGTAAGGAAACAGGCTCTGGCTGGTCCCATGCTTGCTAACTATCTGGACAAGCAGGACTAGAACTCAAGTTCTCTGACTGTTACTTGAAGAGTGTCCCTAATACATCATGGGACTTGCATGTTATACTGGTTTGAACACTTCTAACTAGATGTGCAAAAACTTTTAAGACTGGAATTGCTTAACAAGTTCAAACTGTCCCAATGGCTTTTACTCATCAAGACTGACCAAATGTCTAGATGTTTAGCTCTTTAATGTCAAAGACAGTATCTTTTCTAGATTTTGTGTCTCTACTTCCATTTTTATCTCAGTCTGATAAATATCAAATATATGAAAGTGGACTCATCTCTTGTTAGTTCAATATCCAAGTTCACATCAGTTACACTGGAACCCAGCTTGGTGAATAAGGAATAAGCCAAGAAACGGGTCTTCAGAAAAACTGAATGATGCCAGTGAAACTCTTAAATAGAGGCTGGTAAACAAAGGTCCATAGGCAAATTTGGCCTGCTGCTTGTTTTTGTAAATAAAGTTTTATGGGAATGCAGGCACATTCATTTGTTTACATATTGTCTATGACTGCTTTTGCACTACAATGGCACAGCTGAGAGCTGAGTAGTTCAACAGAGACCGATGGTCTGCAAAGCCTAAATTACTTATTATCTGGTAGAAAGATGAAGTTTACTGACGCCTGGGGTCTGAATCATTAATTAGCTCTTTTACTAAGGCCTATAGGCAAACAGCAGGCTGAATTTCTGGCCTATGAAAAATGTTATCAGCATTAAACATTTTACAAGACCAAGCTACCCTTTCAAAAAACAAAATAAAAGCACTCCACTGTTTTCTACTCCTAGGAATTTCTGCAACAGCAACCAGAAAGAGGATAATAATGACTCTTTATATTCCTCTCAGATACACGCTGGTACTACTCATCCATTCACCACTTCCTCCTTCTCATGCCAGGCACATCTCCTACAATCCACTAGGGACAAGAAGCCTTTGAAAATTTAACACTGGGTTACAGGAGATGCAGAGTTATGCAGTCTCACCAGACTCATTCCAAAGTATCCTCCGTGACTATTTGTGCAGAGTGAAACTTGCTTTGATAAATTAAACTTTCCTGGGAGAAAAAGGTTATTTGAACAAATGTGAATTTTTCTTGTAGAGTTTATAATCTGGCAAAGGTTGGGCAAAGTACAAATGATCAGGGCACAATACATTTTACAAGAGATAGCTAGAAATTGTTTACACTTCCTTTATAACCCTGCTAAATGAGCTAGCAATCATTTACCAAGTTGTATGCAAGATAATGAACACTATATTAGATGCTTAGCATATGATGTTTATAATAATCTGTTGCAAAGGTATGTCTGCATTCCTTGAACCTTTATACTCTTTCAAAGCCTAAAACCCTTTGCAACGGTTTGCCAAGTGAATTTTTAAATACTGTCTTTGGAAGGCTAAGAAATGACAAGAAATGTATTTATCCAGCTGTAAGCTTATATTACACTAATCTTGATTAATCTTGTATTTTATAAAAGGTCCTTTATCAAGGGCTTTACTTTTAAAAAGACAAAAGCAAAGCAAAAAACATATTTGAGGCTGGGCACGGTGGCTCACCCCTGTAATCCCAGCACTTTGGGAGGCCAAGGCGGGCAGATCACGAGGTCAGGAGATAGAGACCATCCTGGCTAACATGGTGAAACCCTGTCTCTACTAAACATACAAAAAAAAAATTAGCCAGGTCTGGTGGTGGGCACCTGTAGTCCCAGCTACTCAGGAGGCTAAGGCAGGAGAATGGTGTGAACCTGGGAGGTGGAGCTTGCAGTGAGCCAAGATTGCGCCACTGCACTCCAGTCTGGGCGACAGAGCAAGACTCTGTCTCAAAAAAAAAAAAAAAAAAAAAAATTGATAGCAAATATTTACTATATTTTGCAGAACAAAAAGTCACAGAGCTTTAAAAAATTATGCTTCCTAACAATTATGTTCCACATTCCTTTCCTTAAAATTTCTCTAGTACTTGTATCTTCCAACATCTTCTGCTCTGATTGCCTATAGACAGTTTATTACATTATTTTTTCTTTTATTATTCCTAAACTGATTAATATATGTCATTCTTCTTTACTACAAGGCACGGCCTTGCCTGCTAGGATCCATGCATATCTTGGATTTACTTTCTTGTCCCTCAAAACCAGGCTTAGCACATGGCATGAAACAGAAATAACCGTTATTTCCTGTCTAGAATCAAAGAGAGAAAGAGAAAGAGAAGAATAAACAAACAAAAAGAACCAGATAAATGAATGAAATCAACACTGCTAATGTTACTGGTATCTACAACTATTATACCCCCAAAGTACCTTTGGAATGTAATTGGCAAACTGGATCCATACAACTATAATAAGTTGTTGTTTTATTCTTTAAAATACTTAATATGTAACCTTTTACCTTTAGATTAATCCTTAATCCTGTTAGGTAGATAGCAAACCTCTTAGTATCTTCATTTTACAGTGGCCCAGAAAGCTGTGGAATCTTGTACAAGGTCAAATAACTGATTAACCGAGACTAGCTATCAAGCTTTTATCAAATACCTAATTAATCCCAGACTCCTGACTTCAGCATGGTACATTTTCCACAAGCCCATGAAATGACAAAGTCTAAAGTCATAAATCAAGTGACAAAGAACTCAAAATTATGTCTGAGAATTCTGATTCTGTAAAATCACATGATATGAAAGTCTATCATTGTAAAGACAAGTAGAAGCATAAATTATTGCTTGGATTTAAATTTTAATTCCACCCAATTAAAATGGTTAGTGGATGGGACTTTTCAAGAAAAGACTTAAGAAGACTATGCCTTGTAAAAACATGTGGATGGTGTATAAATTAATCTTCTCACCAAATTCCAAATATCAGAACGAAAGACAGTTTCAGAACAATTAGAAGTTATTACTTTTTCTATTTCCCTGTCTAGCTGGTCTAACTCAGGAGTCATTTTCTTCAAGAGGACTTCTTAACTGGCCAGAACTTGGTCATTTCTCTTTCCTTAGCTTTCCTGGCACTTCAAGTGCCTTGTCAGTCGATTGGAATAAGATACTTGGTCTTCGTTTCTATGTGGACATCATATTTCTTCAACTAGAAAGGAAGATCTTTTACATTAATACCTCTAGAGCCCTGGTACATCGTAGGCAATATTTCTGAAGACCACGAAAATGCTGTTACAGAACTTCTTTCCTCAGTCCACTTTACAAATAAAAGTGTAAATATTCAGGAAAAATTTAAGGACATTATAGATAGATTTGTAACCCATTATTAATAGGAGTCTAGGCTGTGTCTACAATGTGGATGGTGGTCCCTTAGATATGGGACCCTTAGGCAGTACAGAACCTGAACACCGGCCCACAGAGGCCCTGGACATAAGAATATTACAGATGAAAACCACTAGGAGTTTTTGTTTGTTTGTTTGTTTTTGAGACGGAGTCTCGTTCTGTTGCCCAGGCTGGAGTGCAGTGGTGCAATCTCGGCTCACTGCCTCCTGGGTTCACGCCATTCTCCTGACTCAGCCTCCCGAGTAGCTGGGACTACAGGCGCCCGCCACCATGCCCAGCTAATTTTTGTATTTTTAGTGGAGACGGGCTTTCACCATGTTAGCCAGGATGTTCTCGATCTCCTGACCTTGTGATCCTCCCACCTCAGCCTCCCAAAGTGTTGGGATTACAGGCGTGAGCCACAGTGCCTGGCCACCACTAGGAGTTTTTAAAAAGGGAGATATTACTTGTTGCCAGGGAAATTCTGGAACACTTTGTGAAAGGTGTCATTGAAGCTAGGTGGTAGTAGGTTTAAACTACAGACTAAAGGGCACAGGAAGATGGGTGGAAGAGACTTAGGTAGGGGCAAAGATGCAGAGCTTGTGAAGAAACAGTGAGTAGTCTAGTTTAGCTGCCTTATATGGTTGTCTTATAAAGTCTGCTGAAAACCAGGGTGGGATATTAGAGGAGAGAGGGACTTGACCAGAAATGAACACTGCTAATCTGCTGTACTAACAGATGAGTCAGTAACTGGAATGGGGAATCCTGGAAATGCAGACAAGAGCCAGATTGTGAAGGATGTTGAATACTATGAGGACTTGATCCTGAGCAATTCGGGGGTGGGGGTGCGGAGGGGGTTGGCTGGCAAAGTAGAGGAGGAAAAGCAGCAGGAGGAGTAACATGATCACATCTGAGTTTTAAAAAATCACTTGGATTGCAGCCGCAAGGCGGTTTGGTAAGAAGAGGGAGTAGCAGTGACCAGCTAGGAGTTAACTGCAATAGTCCAGGCAGCAGATGAGCGCCCAACCCTTAGGGAGAGGCAAAGCAGAGGGATGAGGCAAGATTCATTTTGACAAAAGCCTTGTTAAACCTTGGAGAATGGATGTGGAGGACGTGACATAAGGAGAAATCAAAGATGATTCTTTTGTGTTTTAGCTTGATTAAATAGGAATGCCAATAATTAAAAGGAAGGAGTGAGGAGGGGTCCACTTTAGCAGGATGGCTGGCAACTGAACTCCAGATGTGCCAAGTTTGAAGTCATGTGGCAATATCCCATAAGGAGTTTAACTTGTTGATCTGGAAGAAGTTCAATACAGAGATACGGACCAGAGAGGAGGTGGGAGGGGCAGCTGTGAGAATGGCTAAGAAAAGGGGGCTGAAAGTAATATTCTGTTCAACCTTGGCATTACAGGCTGTGACAGAAGAAGATCTGAGGAAAAGAGAAAGAACTATTATTCCCAGAAAAGCTCTCTTAGATTCCAAGGGGAAGAGTTTCAGGAAGGAAGCAATTATCATTGGTGTAAACAGTGTCAAATACCACAGAGGTGTCAGGTAAGATAACTTAGAGTTAGTCACTGCATTGAGAGGTCTGAGAGTAAACTGAAGGGAAAGCAGTCAGAGGGTAGCAGCAGCAGGTGAGGAGGGAATGCACTTTCAGACATGTGAACAGCCTTTACCTTCACCTCGATGGTGAACGGCGGAACACAGGCGTTTTCTGCTCTGCCCACTATCACTTCCTCTAAGGGGTCCCATTCGTTGTAAGAAGAGACAGGGCAGTCCTTGGGCAGAGGTTCAGTGGCCTTGTCGTCAGCTGCAAAGGAGTTCCGGGAGGAAGCCGTAGCTGCCTGGGTGCTCTGGAAAGTTCGCTGCACCCATCCCGTCAAGGTTCGTCCAAGCTTCCAAGAACAAAGAAAACATTATTGTATTGCATTGCTCTATCAGTACTTGCAGAGAGGAGGAAGTGGAGATGGGGTAAAATTCCAGCATAACATTGCCACTTAAACCCCTTTAGAAGAGTGTAAACCAAGATGTTAACAGTGTGTAGGTGGGTAGTGGGATTATAGATAATTTTTTAACCCTCTTGTTTATCTACAAATTGTCTTATCTATTAATTGCTGTAACTCTCTAAAACTCCTTAGAAGACGGTGTCCCCAGCGACCATACACCCCCATCTTTATCTCAGAATGCAATTCCTGCACTCAAGCTTTAAGCAACTCTTTTGCAGATGGGTCAGTCCTCCTCTCAGAAAACCACAGACAGCTGCTCTAAAACTTCCCGCCAGTCCCAGCTGAGGATGGAACCTCCTTTTCCCTCAAGTATCAAAGGTTACCAATATTAGGCTTTTTATTTTATTTTATTTTATTTTTACAAATGAAAAGGTGGGAACATTTGTAAAGGACCGTATCTTTCAGAATAGCCAGCTTCAAATCAAATTTTTTTCATCTTTGACATACACTTCGCATTCTTTGGCACTTCAATTCTAAGAGTGAGCAACTGCCATCTGCTCCATTTTACAGATGGTCCACTGTACCCTAGCCAAGATCAGGATTAGCCCAGGCGTAAATTCAAACAACTGAAAAGGAGATCTGAAAACTTCAAAAGCCTTTAAAAAATGCGTGGCCTATAAAATCTAGAGCAGGGAGGGTCCCTCAACCCCTGAGTAAACCTCAACCCCCCAAATCTCTATCCTGCTCTGTTAAAAGCCTTAGGAAGTTGGCAGGAAGGGAACTCGGGTGGAGGCAGAAGCAAGACGGAGAGTGGCAGCTGTTCAGGAACCAGTTGCTGTGGGGAAGCCAGAATGTCGAGCGATTCCAGTCCTAGGAGCAAGGGAGGGTCTGCCGCCAGGGTAGCCGAAGGCGGGGAGCGCAGAAACTCTGCTTACAGGCTGCACTCGCCAGACTCCTCTCCAGACGTGGGACCGCATGTTATACTTGGAGTGAATCTGGTCGCTCGCTCCCCGTCCCTGATTCCCACTTTGCTTGTCTCTTCTCCCCATCCATCCACCCCACACGCATTTTCCAGAAATATGCCCACTTAGGCTACTGAACCCCAGTAACGCCACCCTTTTACTAAGAGGAGCCACCGTCATCCCAGCCCCTTGCTCCGAGCGGGAAGCTTGGTGCAGCGCACCAAGGTCCGGTAGAGGAGGGCGGCGCCCCCTGCGCCGTGGGCCAGCAGGCCGCAGACGCGCAGACAGCAAGTGGACCCCAAGGGGTGGAGCCGCAACGCAAGTTCCCCCGGACCCGGGGACGCCGCCCAGCTCCTGGAGCCTGCAAAGGCTCTTGAAGCTGAGCTTCCCAGGGATACCAGAGGGGACACTCTCGTGCAATTCTGGCTGGGGAAAGCGAGGGAAGGCGGCGGCTCTGTGGAAGGAGCGAGCGAGTGCTCCACGCCACCCTCAAGACCGAGTGAGTCACGCGGCCGCCAGACGAGGCCGGTGGCGCACGCACCCGAGACCCGATGTAGTGCACCGCTTCGGCGCCGCGGCTCCCGCCGCGCAGACACCGCACCCGCAGCATCGCCCCGGCCCGGCTGGTCCACGCACGGAATGTTCCTGGCCCTGGGCCGCGTCGGTCCAAGCCTCCCCGAAAGCGCGCCCGGAGCGTGATGGGCGGGTGCGCTGGGCCCGCGGCCTTTTGTAGCCGCGCTCCGCCCCGGCCGCCCCCCGCGGCCCCATTGGCTGCCGGGAACAGGTGGTGGGGCCGGCAGAGCGCCCCGAATTAGGAACTGTTGGGAGGCGCCGTGGCCGCTGGCTCGAGCCTCCGACGCTTGCCCTTTTTTAGCCAGCGGGGCCACTGACGGTTTCTGTTGCACGCCCGGACCTGGACCCCGACCCGAGCGCCGCAAGAAGGCCCGCTGGAGTCTCGCGAACTGGGCAGGACGCGACTTCCGACGAAGTGACAATGGTCTATGCATATATTAAGTGAATATTTGAGAATTTAAATATGCAAAGCGTGAGTACAGTGTTACGCTTAAATTCACATATGCGCACGGACCCAGTCACCTCATTTTTCGGTAAACGAAACCACCTAAAAATTAGGTGGTTTCTTAGTGCAACATCGGGTTTGAAACTGCAGAAAACTAAGTCTGGAAGTTGGGCCATTTGCTCCCCGGGGAGGTAGTGCTTTCCTTCCACTACCCCGTCGGGTGTTATTTGGAACACCTGGCATTTCACATGATTTTTGGCCATGTGCCCCTGGCATGAGAAACTCCGACATGAAAATCGACAAGTGTGGGTCAGAAATAAGGGAGGACGGCAGTTTCGTTCCTTCCATTTCATGTTTTAAATTTTTTGTTTCAACTTGATTAGGATTGTTTTTTTAGAAAAGTATTGTCCCTCACTGTGCAGTCTTAATTGCTGTGGATTTGTGCAAAGCTAGAGAACTCAGGTTAACATTTATGCTCCTAGTAGGAGAGGAAGCAAGAGATTTGAGTATTTCATTTTTGTACTTATAGAGTTGTAACTATTCATTTTTGATGAGCTATCTTTTTAATTTTGGTATCTCAAGCTTGTTTTCCAGAGTTCATGGATGGAAAGCAACAGACAAGCAGATAGCATGGTAGAAAAAGCCTCCGAGAGGGAATTAGGATAACTGAGTTCCAGTCTTGACTCAGTTATAGACTACTGTGTGTCTTCTTGAATTGCAGTCTTCTTATCTGCAAAGTGAGAATAGAATTTACTGTCCCTAGCACATGGGGGGGTTGCTGAGGGGCCAAAATGAGAGACTATACATGCAGAACTTGATGCGTGGCATTAGAGCCGTATGAGGCCGGGTGCAGAGGCTCACGCTTGTAATCCCAGCAATTTGGGAGGCCGAGGTGGGCGGAACGCCTGAGGTCAGGAGTTTGAGACTATCCTGGCCAACATGATGAAACCCTGTCTCTACTAAAAATAAAAAAACTAGGCCGGGCGTGGTGGCTCATGTTTGTAATCCCAGCACTTTGAGAGGCCGAGGTGGGCAGATCACGAGGTCAGCAGATCGAGACCATCCTGGCTAACAGGGTGAAACCCTGTCTCTACTAAAAATACAAAAAAAAATTAGCCGGGCATAGTGGCAGGCGCCTGTAGTCCCAGCTACTTGGGAGGCTGAGTCAGGAGAATGGCGTGAACCCGGGAGGCGGAGCTTGCAGTGAGCCGAGATCGCCCCACTGCACTCCAACCGCCAGAGCTAGACTCCGTCTCAAAAAAAAAAAAAAAAAAACATTAGCCGAGCATGGTGGTGGGTGCCTGTAATTCCAAGTGCTGAGCTGAGGTGGAGCCACTACACTCCAGCCTGGGCGACAGAGCAAGACTCCATCTGGGGGGGGAAAAAAAAAAAAAGCTATATGAGGTAATGTGTTACTACTCTAGCAATAAGGAGGCCCCCAAATGCCATAATATGGTGAAACGAGTAAGTCTAAGTTCATAACTTAATTCTGCCACTAATTTGCTGTGTGACCTGGAACCAGATCCCTTTATCTTTCCAATCAAGGCTTCATACTTCTAGTGAGGTTTTGAGAAATCTCTAACATTTCTCAAAATTTTAAAAGTACTTTCTCCCAACAATAAAATGCAGCCACCTCTGAGGTCTGATTCTCTTTGTGTACTGAGGGCAGCCAGATATGTGCTTCTCCTCAAAAGAATTGAAGAGTACAGTAAGTACACATAACAAGGCCTTGAGATTACTATACCATTTCTGCTTGAGATTGGAGGACATCCTCTTGCCACCCATTAAAAGCACTATTTTAATTTTGCAGATGTAAGGATTGGGGGTGGCTGGTAATAATGAAGTTACGATGTTGTTAAGTTTTACATAATGAAAAACTCATAGCCAAAGAGTATACCCTTATCTCCTGGGATCCAGCAGAAAGTGTGTGGATAGCGCCACCCAAACCAGTCCTGCTGTTATAAAAGCATATAAAAGCACTCACTCCTCCTTTTTGCCATGCCTCTCATTTATTTTCATTCTTTGTCCTTTTTCCCCTTTTATACCACACTTTTTTTCATTTACTACAATATTTTTTCATTCTCTTTTATGTTCTGTTTTTGAAAAAAATTCTGTAACAATTTCTAGAATGACCTTATCAATTTAAAGTACAAGCTTTCCATACTAGTTTGTCTAATACTGGGCCAACTCTGCAAAGTATCTATATAGTGATAGTTGGTAACTGTGGTCTTTAGTTGCTGTCTTATTCAGAAGAAATGGAATAGACTGTGAAGTCCTGTCTTGGCTTCCCCTATTGGCAGTAGATACCATCAATAACTTTGATTGAACCAATAATTTTAGGATCTTGCTAGTCTCATACCTAGTCATTATGCATATTCAAGTCTAATAGTAGTGCATCTTTGTAGCTTAACTTAAAGGCATAATGTAGGATAGTGTGTGTATAAAGGGGTCTAAAAGGACAAGGAATAGAAAACACACCAGAAGCATGGCAAAAATTCAGCTTTTCAATTCTCCCTCATCACCGTTGCTTTGGGGATATGCCCAACTCTCGCTAGTTCCAACCAAAAAAGCACAGAGTTTTTGAAATGTGTCTTGAGATTAAAATAAAACAAAAAAAGCGAGTAAAGTCATTGGATTAACAAAATAAACAACAAAAGAGCCTGTTATAAGAATTCACCATTTCTTTATCATGGTTGATTTCAGAATCTGTACATAGGGTGTAAACAAGTACAGAGGAAGGTGCTCCTAGAACTTAAGAATACAGATACTCTGTGAAATTGGTAAGCACACACATATACACACAGATACACTCGATGAGATTAGCTATCTACAGAAGTCACCTATTCTAAAAGACATTTGTACCTATAGTTTAGGGGAAGGATATCTCTCAAAGTAAATTAGAAACAATAATGTATTACTCAAGTTCAAACAAGGTGACTAAAGTATATATTCTCATGACGGAATGTAAATAAAGCTGCAATTTTTTTAGAAAATATTATTTGGGCTGCATCAATAAAATATATTTGGAAGCATACACAGATACTGATAACCTAAGTTGTCCCTGGGGAGGGGACCTGAATGGCTGGGAAACAGGAATGAGAGAGATTTTCCACTGTAAGCCTTGTTGTACCTTTGAATTTTGAACATGTGAGTAAACTACCTAATAAACAAAAAACATATTTAAAAGACTGCATCTGCAGAGGTGTGATTATCAACATAGAGTTTTAAAATAGGAAGCCTGAGTGGCCAACCTATCAGAGTCTGTTCATCCAGCTCTACCTAAGGATGGAATCAGAATATTCTGGCCTCTGGAAAGGTTAAACCTATTGAGGACAAGAATACTTCTGTGGGTTTTATGAAATCTCCCTCAAAACTATTCACCTGCTCTAACTTGTGAGCTCACTAAGCTCATCCCTGGGAACCTTGGCATGGGGGAGTTACCCTGCAGGCTGAGCACAAGTAAGTGATCTGATAGCTGGAAAGATGAAGATCTCATTGTAAAATATTAAATCAGTATTCTGCCGGGCGCGGTGGTTCATGCCTGTAATCTCAGCACTCTGGGCAGCTGAGGTGGGTGGATCACCTGAGGTCAGAAGTTTGAGACTAGCCTGGCAAACATGGTGAAACCCCGTCTCTACTAAAAATACAAAAATTAGCCAGGTGTGTTGTTGCACACCTGTAATCCCAGTTACTTGGGAAGCTGAGGCAGGAGAATTGCTTGAACCCATCTGAGACCAGCCTGGCAAATATGGCAAAACCCTGTCTCTACTAAAAATACAAAAATTAGCCAGGTGTGTTGGTGCACACCTGTAATCCCAGCTACTCGGGAAGCTGAGGCAGGAGAATTGCTTGAACCCAGGAGGTGGAGGTTGCAGTGAGCTGAGATCATACCACTGCACTCCAGCCTAGGCAACAGGAGAGAAACTCTGTCTCAAAAATATTAGTAATAATAATAATAATAAATATTCTAGCTTATCCCTCAGAGTCTAGTGAGTTCTAGCTCAGTTCTTGCTTCCTAATTATGTTTCCCTTCTTAATGTTCTCTTTTTTCCGCCTACCTAGTTGATTCTGGGTAAACTGATGGAATTTACTTTCTAAATCTGAAATGCTGTGGGACTGGCCTGATCCCACAATAGCCTGTGTTCCACTAGCCCACAGTACCTATCACACTGCCCTAGAATTGCCTGCTTATATGTCTGTCTCTCACTGGGCTGTTGGCTCCTTAAGGACAGGGAGTCTGTTTTATCCACCAGTATATCCCTAGCACAGTGCCTGACACAGCCAGAGTCCTTAATCAATTGTTCACTGCCACTCTGATGGCCCAGCTAGAATAACCTGAGCTCCCTCTTTGGTACTTTGCAGTCTTTGATTTCAAATGAGTTACAAAATGTTGTGAAGACAGCCTCTGCACTGTCCCTTACAAATCATTTTAGGATTTTTACTAGTTTTGAACAGCTGTGTTATTACTGCTCAGCATCTCCCAATGAGGTAGATTCTTTCATTGGAAGACAACTGCAAAACACTAGCTGCAGCTAAATTAAACGCCAGCTTTCTCCAAGTATTTAAAATAATCTCAGCTTAGGTTAGTACTGAAACTGATAGAGCTTTAAGAAAACTGAGGAAGAAACATCTGAAGTCTGCTCCAAGGAATCTTATTTCTTTTACTTCAGTCTTCAAATACCCTTCTGGAATTTAAAAACAGTAAACACCATTCTCTTTCTTCAGGTTCTGACTAAACTTACAAGCAAAGGCCAACCCATTTGCCAAATTGCTTCAATTTTTTTTTTATTTTTTTTTTATTTAATGTAGCCTCACTCTATTGCCCAGGCTGGAGTGCAGTGGCATGATCTCAGCTCACTGCAAGCTCCGCCTCCCGGGTTAATGCGATTTCCAGCTAATTTTTGTATTTTTAGTAGAGATGGGGTTTCACCATATTGGCCAGGCTGGTCTCAAACTCCTGACCTCATGATCTGCCCGCCTCAGCCTCCCAAAGT